GCGACACAGTAATGTATTAGCGGACAGAAATCTTTCGAATAAAATCCAATTAACGTTTCGGAATGACATACAACGATCGGTTTGGCAGTCAGAGCACTTAATCAAGAAAGTAATATGAATTATATCAATTCATGTACCCTACATTAAAAAGTTACATACTGATAATAATATTTCACAGCCTTATAAATTCAACGAGAACTGTATTTTAAAACCCGTTTTCTTAAAAGAGTCTTTAGGTTGACAATAGAATAATAACATTTGCAGTTAAAGATACCATTGTTGTATTGTTTTTTAGTCTTTAGGTTGACAATAGAATAATAACATTTGCAGTTAAAGATACCATTGTTGTATTGTATTTTAGTCTTTAGGTTGACAATAGAATAATAACATTTGCAGTTAAAGATACCATTGTTGTATTGTTTTTTTAGTCTTTAGGTTGACAATAAGATAATAACATTTGCAGTTAAAGATACCATTGTTGTATTGTATTTTAGTCTTTAGGTTGACAATAGAATAATAACATTTGCAGTTAAAGATACCACTGTTGTATTGTATTTTGTGCATATATACTAAAAAAAGAGGGCGCCTGGCAAACACTCGGAGATTCGCGGAGTTCCTCGATAATTCATGATCCTTCTAGAAACTCCAGCGCCCATGCTCCCAGCGTCGCGTGACTTCCGCTGTCGTAACAATGCGTTCTTTTGACAGATAACACTGCATCGAACAACAACAATATTTAACCCTAAATTTATCGAATAGTTACGCCTCAAAATGCTTGCAAGTCTATAATGTTGTTGATTACAAAGTCACTAACAATGCATAAGTCACACAAAAGAATATTTAAACAGAAATTCCATCGATATTACTGTTAGTCCAATTAATTACTGACCTTTTTCGACCCTTTTTTTTTGTCAGCTCTTTACAATGATTGTTTTAACAGGCAAAAACATAAAATTATTCAGTATGATCGAATAAGTTGGACCCCTACCGGCGGTGAACGGTATAAAAAGAAGTTGGTAATTTGCGGGTTAAACTATCATGGTAACAAAATATAATAAAACGAAGTTTCGAAGTCCAGTGTATTAAAAGTTGAATTATTGTCTCTCTTCTATTTTAAGTCACAGGATGTCTGTTCTTGCCAGAATTTATTTTTAAACTGCTTGCAAACTTTTAAGTACCGTTTCTTATAATATTATCTTGACTTTTCTTTTCCATAAAACAACTTCTATTTATGTCTTGAAAACCTCTTATAGAGACAAGAAAAAGTTGTTAAAATCCCAGAGAAAGCTGACATTTGTTATGTATCGCAAAGATTTTGTGTAAATAAACGCGTTTCTCTGTATAACCTTACGTTAGAGTGGGTGTAACTGGATATTATATTCGATGACGAGGAACCCACTTTGAGACTAATAATACCTGATGAGTGATGATGACAAAACCTTGTCGAAACGTTGTACATTTGTTGTTATGTTAAACTTATATTAAAGGTTTTCTTCAATACCCATTCAAACTGTCTCCAAGAATTATTGGATATTATATACTTCTACTGATAAAGGTAGACAACAACGAGAATCTACCCATGTTACACATTAAGTATTAAATATGTTGAGTTTTGACAGTCGAATAACAATAACAGTGTTTTTGTCACACTCTGCCTACAGTGTTTTTGTCACAATCTGCCTAAAGTGTTTTTGTCACACTCTGTCTACAGTGTTTTTGTCACACTCTGCCTACAATGGTTTTTGTCACACTCTGCCTACAGTGTTTATTGTCATATTCTGCCAACAGTGTCTTTTGTCACACTCTGCCTACAGTGTCCTTTGTCACATTCTGCCTAAAGAGTTTTTGTCACACTCTGCTTACAATGGTTTTTGTCACACTCTGTCTACAATGGTTTTTGTCACACTCTGCCTACAGTGTTAATTGTTACATTCTGCCTACAGTGTCTTTTGTCACACTGTGCCTACAGTGTTTTGTGTCACATTCTGCCTACAATGGTTTTTGTCACACTCTGCCTACAGTGTTTTTGTCACACTCTGCCTACAGTGTCCTTTGTCACATTCTGCCTAAAGTGTTTTTGTCACATTCTGCCTACAATGTTTTTTATCACACTCTGCCTACAGTATTTATTGTCACACTCTGCCTACAGTGATTTTTGTCACACTCTGCCAACAGTGTTTTTGTCACAGTCTGTCTACAGCGTTTTTCGTCACAGTCCGTCTACAGTGTTTTTTTTTATCACACTCTGCCTACAGTGTTTTTTATCACACTCTGCCTACAGTGTTTTTTGCTACAGTCTGTCTACGGTGTTTTTTATCACACTCTACCTACAGTGTTTTTTATATAAAATTATGGTACAGCTAGTTTTGATGGTCACCGCATTATTTTTCACATGACTCTAACACTGAAGCTTTGTTATGGAATATTCCTCTATGTTCTGAACCCTACTTGTTCTCCAACTAGGATGACATCAGCTTGTTACTTAATCTCATTTACGAATTCTCAATTCCTGTCAAAGTGGTAGACGTTTCTTCCATAGTTTAATGACAGTCTAACATTTTCATTAAATTACCAATTTTATAGACACTTAATCGTATTCTGTATTTTTATAAATCCAGTATTTATTATTCCAAGATATCCAACATCATTCAAGGACAGACACGCACCAATTTTTTTAATCACAGACACAAACAATTATGTATTATTCATAAATACACAATTTTTTTTATCGTAATCATATTGAGGATAGCCCAGCTATCTTACTCATTCGTTTACTTCGAGTTTATTACATTTTTATTCAAAAA